TACACTAGTGTCAAAAGTGTGATCCTTCTTGACTCAGCCTCCTGAGTGCTGGGATTGCTGGCATGTACCTCTATGCCCAGCTGCAAGAATATTTTAAATCAGTCTTTTCTAATAGAAATTTCTTCACTAAGGAATGTTTTTATATCTGTGCCATCCCAAAACAGTAGCCCCAGTGCATGTGTCTGTTGAATACTTGAAATGTGGCTAGAATGAATAAGGAACCAAATTTTGAGCTCAGTTAGTTAGTCAGTTTGCAGGACTGGGAATTGAACCCAGGCATTTGGGCACACTAGACAAGTGCTACATCACTGAGCTACATTTTATTAATTTACTTTAAATTTCAATAACCACATGTGGCTAGTGTTTAGTATATTGGCCAGTGCAGTCTCAGACTAAGTAGACTGTGTTCATAACTGTAATATGGCAGGTGCAGCATTAAGGCAGAAACGGCTCTTATTCCCATAACTACCACAAAAAGGCTTTCAACCTTCCAGACTCAGAAGACTAGATAAGTTATTCTTCTTAGGAACTTAGTCTTAGGGTGGAAGGCTGGGCGTGGCAGCTAGAAGCCCTGGACACTTCCCCTTCTTCATGCTTCATCTCAATTTGTAAAACATGAGGTTAAAAAGTAATTTCTAAGATAACATTCATTCCCAACAATCGACACAGTTCATCTGTGTTCTCTCTCCTCCAACTCCAGCCAGATAAGCCCCCTAACTTCTGCCATTGGACTGTGGGACGACCTAGAAAATGGCCATTTCTTATAAAAGAGGGCAGAAATGTTACCTAAGCAAGCCTTTTGTCTTAGTCCATCAGGTCTTTCCTCATTACAAGAATCTCAAGTAATTTCTGCTATTTTCCCCCTTGCACTGCCCTAGTTTCCATGGACAAAGGAACTTATAATTGACTGAGTCTCCAAAAGAACTGGGCTCCTCTCCCTCTGGCCTGCCTTTCCCAGGAAGTGTGTGACCTGCTGCTTGCACTTACCCTGGCTCTGACCACACTGACTTGTTCTCTCCCATTGCTTGTTTAATCTGATTCTCTGTACTCATCCTACTCCTTGCTGCCAGACCCACATCCTGTGTTTGCTGTGGTCTAACATGGCATGTAGACTTGGGCTTTGTTTATAGCAATGCTTCAGAAGCAGGGGATGTACAGTCAATATCAATAGAGCAGAATTTGGGTTACCAGTCTGTATGGTATAATGGAAAGAACAAAGTATCCAGAGATAGTCAGATATATTTGAGGTTTGATCTCTCCTCCCCTAGCTGTTTAAATAGGAGCTATTGTTTTTACTTCTAATATATCCCCCAATGTAAAGCACAAGTAGTAATCTCTCAGAATTATGACTATAAACAAAATAGGCCTGTAAAAATGCCTAAGTTAGTGTTTAATATGGATATTATATAAAATAAATTTGAAAAGGAAGAGATGAAAGATAGGTGGATCAGTTAGTAAACAATAAAATAGAGGCAATAAAACATGTTTGAGGTAATAAAGACCTATATGAAGATGGTGGCCATGGAAAGAACGAGGTCAATAGATATTTTGAAGGAAGTAGAGGCCCTTAGTGAGAGATTAGATAAGGAGGATAAAGGAGAGGAAGGAATCAGAGATAAGTTCAAGGTAAATGGGTGGATGAAGTTAAGAAAGTTAAGATGACAAAAATAAGAAGACAAAAATCAGGAAACTGGCACTGAAGGGAAAGTAAGAAAAGAAAAACTAGATTTTAAAAAGTTAGACTCACAGATTTTAGATTTTAAATACAAAAATGTGAGGGGTCATTAAAATTTTTTTTAAATCCCAAATCAAGTCAGTAGAACAAATTAAAGTAAGGCTTTGATATCTTTATTTCCATACAAAACATTTTTCCTTTTAATCTGAGATGAAAATGTAAGATATTAAAATAAACTTTTCTTTTTTTGTTGATACTGGGGATTGAACTCAGAACCTCATGGCACATGCTAGGCAAGAGTCCTATTACTTGAGCTATGTATATTGTCTGCTTCTATTTCTGAATAGCTGAGATTACAGGAGTGTACCACCATGTCCAGCTCAAATAAACATTTTTTGAGGCCACCTACAGGAAAAGGTTGGAATTACATTTTTTGGAAATAGGGACACAGATAACTACGTTGATGCTGGGTAAGCTCACAAAATTATGAAGTGTATAGGGAGAATGAAAAAGTAGTCTATAGTTTAAAATTCTAAAGAAATCAGGGAACACTTAGGTTTTAATTCACCTTCTGCTCTCTATCCTGTAGAAATAATGATAGCTGTGATGGTAATACTGACACAAATTTAGTTCTTAAAATTGTCTTCTAATAGACTTCTCTACAAGATCTAATACAAGAATCAGAGCCCTCTGTGACTACCTACTGTCACTAGTAGACCCCAGATTACAAAGACAGCATCTGAATGCTCAGAAAGTTTTGACCAAGTTCACACAGAAGTGGTAGTCAGGATTTAAATATAGCTACTTAGGTTTGAAAGAAACAGGTACAATTTTTGTCTAAACTGGGACATTTTGAGGGTAAAAGGATGACGGAAGTAAACTGGAATTGTCCTGGCAAAACAGGCCTTATGGGCACCCTATTAAATACCAGACACTCTGCCTTGATGAGCCTGGACAATGAACGATAGGTCTCTTAATTCCTAATGATTTGCCAGAATTCAGTTCCACTGAGACTTTTACATGTCTTTTCTCCTTCCTCCAAAATTGTCCCTTCTTCTGGCTTCTTGAACTCTGCCTTATGCTCTTTGAATCTTCTATTCACAAATAAATATCTTCTTCTCAAATATTGTTTGCTGTATATTTTCACATTCACGGCACTACTTCGGTTTCTGTTTTCTGTCCCTTCACTGTTCACACCATGGACCCTTCTCTCTCTGTCCTCATCCTATTTTAGTCTTCACTTCATGCTATTACCAATTACCTTTAAAAAGCAAAGGTCGGATTTCCAGACTAAAAAGAAAGCCATCAATGGCTCTCCTAGGTTTCACAATAATATTTACAGCTTTTTAGCCTCACCTTCCACTCTCCTTTCTCCCCAGACTGAGCATTACATTCATCATCCGTGAGGTCAGGCAACCTCCCCCGTCTGTGGTTCTATGGGTAGAATAGCACTCAGTATGCAAAAAGCCCTCATGAGTTTATTTATTAATGGAATGTTAAACCAATTTGAAACCTTCCTGTGCTTTAATTCTATTTTCACGGCAATAATAATAACATCCTAGGTATATAATAGTTGAATACATATTTTCTACATTTATTGTTTTAACAATTTTGTAGATTTTTTCTTCATGACTATGTCATAGTGAAGCAAAAAAGAAATAGAAGACTCTCTGAAGAGAGTAGTTATATGATGTTTTCCTTTCCTTAATTGAAAGATACGATCTTATACTTCATTTTAAATCTATAAGATTATCTTATGACCTAAGCAGGTATCTAAGCATTTGAACAGGTGATATCTCTGGAAATACTCTTGAATCAAGTAATTCCACAAAAATGAATTGCTGGTAAATTTGGGAGGATCAATTAGAAGATCACATTGTTGTGTAAACAAAAAAATCTAGAGGTTTAGACTAAAGAAATGTTTTAAGAGTACCTTCCCTTTGTTTATGTTGTCACTGTTTAAGTGATGCCTAGATAGAGAGATAGCTCCTGAGAAATTTCTACCTTGGCCTCCTCCATTAACAACTAATATTTATGATAGGAGTGGCAAATGTAGTCTGCTTACATAAATAAAAGTTTTATGTATGCTGCTCAGCAATAGAATAAAGTCACATGTGAATAGGAAAATATCAGAAAAATAATGATAAAATGTACCATGTGTGGAAGGCAGTGAGGAGTGGTGAAAAAAAGTTTTGTGCTAGTTCTTGAAATAATTAAATAAATTCATTTATGAGTTTTTTGATTTTCTTTTCTTTTTTAAAACTTACAATATAATATGGCACCTAAACAAAAAAGTAATAATCATACAGACCTATGTCAATATTAATACTGCTATTAGTGGTCTCTCTCTCTATATATATACATGTACAACTATATATATGTGTATATATATATATATATAATTTGAATATTTGGAAACTTTAGCTGTGCTGTCAACTTTGGAAAAAGTATCTCAGTTTACTGTGTTGAGTTGGCATTGTATAGAAATAAATATACATATTGGTCTAGAAATATCAAACTTAATTTTTTCAGAGGTAATGTACTGTATTAAATATGTAAGGTCTTATCTATGTGGGTTTGATTACAAAAACTAATAAAGTGTTCTTTAAATAATAAAAAAAATTAATTGTATGTTTAAAATTTTAGTATATATTTTAACCAAAATGTAAATTTTAGCAATAGAAATTAGCTTTACATCTATCAACATTCAGAAATGATAAGAAGAAAGAAATGCTATTGTTATTTGATCAGTATATATTATAAACATATACTAAATTTCACATTGTTCCTTCATCTATGTATAAATATAAGTGTGAATTAAAATGAAAAGTTATACAATCATTATGTATCAACTAAAATAAAAAATACATTTTAAAAAGAAGCTAGCTTTGCAGTGTAATCCCTTTCCATTGAACTGATAGGCAGTACATGGCTTTGTCATTAAAACCCAAACTACAGCAGTCAGATTGCCAGCTTGATCTCAGCTCTGTAGCTTACAAGTTTTAGAACCTTGACCAAAGCATTCTCCTGCAGCTTGCTCACCTTTAGAAACACAAAATAATAATATATCTAATATGCCCTTGTGAATAACAAAAATACCCATTCAAGCATAGACTAGTGCCAAGAACATAGCATGTGCTCAGTCAATATCAGCTATTACTACACACACACAGCTTTCCTGAGATTGTGCTATCTTGATGTGAAATTATTTAAAATGTATTTTATTATGTTGTGCTACATCAACTATCCCAAAACACATCTAACTGAATAATAATGAGTTTCTTATCAAAAGCAAAAAAAAATCAAAAGTGAAAACATCACCAACCGTTGAGCCAGTAGTGCTCTGAAATGTCAGTTCTGATGTAATGGTGGTCATGAGTGGGCCCAAGGGACCGTGTGAATGCAGTATCTTTGCCAAGGAAATCAGAGGCTGTTCCAGAGTAGAGGTACTCATCTAGGAGGAAAAGCATACACAGGACTTCTCAGAACACAGAAGTAGATAGTATTTCAAATATACAAATTTCACAGCATGTCACGAAAGATGCTGACTGCTTAACATCAGGATATGTTGTTTCATAAATTTAACTTTCAAATTTTTAATTATCTTACTTGAAGGAATAACTCATTAGACTTTGGTAAGAAGATGCAAGACAATTCAATATTTTTAAAAAGGCTAAGTTTTTTGAATTAATAATAATTAAACATGCATTGACTTCTCTTTTTTATAAGCTCTTTCTTTTCTCTTTTCCTCACAAGTAATTCAGAGAAATATTGTAATTAGGAGTTCTTCTTTGTACCAACATACCAAAAATATTAAAAATTAAACAGCGTAATGAGGAATGGATTGTGTAATTACTATTTACATAATCGATACAACCTTAATGACCACAACTTTTCTTTGCCACACCTCTGTGGACAGGGAGCTTTCAGCACTGAAGTCATTCTTTGTAAATATGATATGTTGCATTCCTTATAGCTGATCATGTGCCTAAGAGTTCTGATAAACAAGAATTCTTGAAAACAGATAGATATTGCCAATACTGCATACCAAACTTCTTTGTACTGTTAGTTATGTAAAACACATGTCCAAATTTTATCAGGAAGAGAAAAAGAAAGAGGGAGAAGAGAGGAAAGCAAAGAGCAAGAGAGACAAAAAGAGGGAAAAAAGAGTGGAAGGTAGAAAAGTAGGAGAAGAAGGGAAAAGATACAAGGAAGAGGGAAGAAGAAGGGAGGCAGGAGGATACAAGGAGAAGTAGAACAGGGTGAGGGAAGAGAGAGCACAAAAAGGAGAACAGAAGGAGAAAGATCAGGCACTGGAAGGGAGAGGTAAAGATGACGGAGGAAGGAAAGGCGGTGTGGTCAATTTTGTCTAATTCTTGCTGAGCACAGGGCAATGAGTGGGAAGGGAAGGAAGAAGGCTGTCCCAGAAGTAGAATATGTTGCCCCTTTGAGAGTTAAGCCTCTTCTGTTTCAAGAAACTTTTATAGGCAACTACTTTGGGTTACATTTACTAAAATAAAGGAAAAAATGGCTAATATTTATGAAGCACTTAAATCTTTTAAATGCCTATACATGAAAATAGAAACATTGTTTTAGCATTGAAATTCAATTTTCTCAGAAACACAATCTTTCAAAATTTGCCTTGTATAATAAGTGATTAAAGTGCTTTCTAAATGTTCTGATTATATCTACCCAAATAAGTCTTTCAATGAACTGTTTGGAAGAATTCAACCTAAATAATGATAGTGGCCAAATTACAAAGGAAACAAAACATATAAATGAAAGAAATCAAGAAATGTAAAGGAGACGTAGATGTGGTATTGCCCCCATCTTTGTAAGCTACTTCTCTAAAATATATCAGGGTAAATGACAAGCACGGTATTTTATTGTGGAGCAATAAAATATAAAATAAAAAATAGAATAACATGAAAAAAACATTATGAGGATGTTCAGTAAGAGTAACGGAAACAAGCATACAATTTTATGTATTTTGAAATACATAAAATGGCAGATATTTGAATATTTTGCCAGAAAAATGTGGTAGGTTTCAACCAAAACATTGAATCTGAATATTTAGTTTTTAAAATGATCTTCTTTTGCAACTGGAGATCATCATGCTGAGTGAGATCACTCAAACTCAAAAAGCCAAATATTGCATCTTCTTGCTCATTTGGGGAAACTAGAACTAAAATAATGATGAGATGATGATGATAATGGGACATGAATGTAAATGGGGGACTGTCTGGGGGTGCTTATAGGGAAGGGGAGGGAGAAAGGAAAGGGTCTTGAGGGATAAACAGGATGGACGTACAGTACATATATATATGTACAACATATACATAAATGAAGATGGCAAAAAGAAACCCACAAAACACTGAAAAAAGGAGTGAGGAGGGAATGGAAATATCATGGAGAGGGTGAACTTGTTCAAAGTATGTTATATGCATGTATAGAGCTATCACAATGAAATTCATTTGTGTTATTAATGTATGCTAATTCAAAAATTAAAAAAAAAATAACCACCTCCTTTTATCTAATATTACGTAGGGATTCAAAAGAGGGGTTACAAATACCCACCATCTATTGTGTTTTCATTAAGGGCGTGTCAACTCCACTTGACAGATAGAATCACACATCATCTATTTCATTTACTAAGATGAGTGAACACTGGCCACTTAACTTTCAAAACACACAGAAGTACACATACTTTTACTTCAAAGCAAGATCACTGGTTTTCACTAAGCGAAAATTAAAATGCTTCAGTGCTTCTTTCTTATCCTCTGTTCAAATATTTGATAGACAAGTTACATAAAAGAGATTAAAGCCATGACCCAAAGCAAGACAAAAGGAGTTCTCATAATGGTTGAAATTCAGGGATCCTGCTGACACACTTTAAAACAGGCTTCACCCCACAAAGTACTACCTTCTTTGAACAACACAGTCATCTCATAGAATTTAAGATGAATATAAAGTGAGAAAATACTAAATGTGCTAGCAAATATTTCACATTTCCATCAATAGCATAATAGGCAAAGAGATGTTCTAACATTATATATCTGTATTCTATAGCTTGACTCATTATTATATTGTAATGTTTACTATCCATACTGAACCAAATAGGAACATAGTTCAGTAAAGAAAATCCCAGGTATCTAAATGTAGAATTATATAATTAAGTGTGCTATTTACTTAAAAAAATTGAATCAGAAAGTCATTTAAAAGCAATAATTGTGTGGACATTAAGGAAGGCTATGGCTTCCTTTATTGATAAAGATGTTCAGTATAGAGAGATGTGGCATTAAAATGTAGAGAACCGTTAAATCAAAATTATCTTCAATTCACTAGGAAAATGTGGTTTATTATACACATATCTTTTTGGAAAATCTTTTAGCAGTAAGACCTTACCTGTCATTACTGAAGCAAAAGGCTGCTGAGGATCAAAAGGACATTTCAGTCTGCCAGACTCCAAGTTATATGTATCTAGTTTGAATATGAGTTCCTGTTACAAGAAATGCAAGTGATATTTTAAAACATATCATGATCAGCAAGAACATAAGAGATAAGAATCAAATTCTAACTCATTAGTTTAATTAAAACAAATTGAGCATATAGCATGTGCTCCTTGCTGTGCCTTAACACTTTAACCACTATGACATATGGCAAGACTTATACCCATGTTTGGTCTCCTTTCTCTCAAAGTCTAGTGATAATACTTTGTGAATTTTTCAGTTTGAAGTAATAATATACTCACAAATTCATTTAATCTGACCCACTATTAATGTCAAAATCACCACCAGATGCATATAGCTTTAAAGTTTAATAATTTTTGAGTCTAATATAGCCAACTTCCTCTTTTAAGAAATAAACTTATTATGCATTTATACTTTCAGGAAAATCATTGTGATTTATATAGCCAATCATGTGCGACTCTGTCAAATTACCTAAGCTTTGTGAATAAAAAAACAAATAAGCAACATAAAAGTATCCTGAGGCAGGCAGCTCATTTTCAGAGTTGTTGATACATGTAGAAAAAAAAATCCTGTTGTAGTATTTTCACTATTATGAAAACACTGTACACATTAAAGCCACATAGTTATTTTGGCTGAAACATCTATTTTTACAATACTGACCACAGACTGAATGACATTGGCAGACTTTTAATATTCAAGAAAAAAACATCTTAAGTAGAACTTTCCAAGAAAAATATGCATGTATAATGAATATAGCCCCATGAGCCTGAGTGTTTCATAACAAATGACAACAGTACCATCCAACAAAAAGACAGATGACTCACCCTGTGCTTTCACTACAGAAATCCAGCATCGCAGACATTCTAGATGGAGTAGCTACATGTTCTGCATGCATCAGAGCATACATGCAATAAGAAAGAACCATTCAGTGATGCTTATGTAGAAGCAAGCAGCAAGGCAAAGGTGATAGAGGACATTAGATTATTTGTTGCCATTTGAGGTCTTTTTCTGAATGAAATAGTAATAGTAACTACTGCCTCAGTAAAACATTAAACTAAAAAAAATTAAATAGCCTGCTTAGCAACTGATATTCCATAATTTTAAATAGCCACACTTTCATACTGGCAAAAATGATATCTAACCAAGAGTCAGGACTTTGTGCACATTGTCTCACTGAATTCTCAATAGTCTACTACTTTAATCATTCCAATTTGCATGCACAATGATGAGGACAAAAGGGGTTACATAGTTTGTTCAGTATCACACAGTGCTACTAAAGGCAGAGAAGGAGCTTGAACTCAAGGTCCTCTATGAAGTTAATGGTCATAACTAATCTAGCCTCAGAATTTCAAATTTATGGATTAAAAAATGTAGCCAACTTATAGACTCATTTCATTATGGAACATGATAAAGGTCAAGTGTATTTAGTTTGAACAGATTATTTAAGGAAAAATAATGGTGGAGGGTTGTTATGAAAAAAATCCAATGACAACACTTTTAAGGTATGCTTCTAACTGGTTTGGGTGCACACCTGTAGATAGAGTCTGTTAAGTACATTTACATATCACTAATGGTATATTATTTTCCACAGGTTAAACAGACTTGTTGACTCTAAAGCCTACAATGGGAACTTGTAAAGGAAACTGAATACTGGTGACTCAGAAGATAATAATAAAAAGCTAAACAATGTCTTGGAGAATGTCTAGCAGATCCAAGGCGTTTGTTACTAGACAAACGCTTACAATTGTACATATTTTTGCTTTCAGATACAACATTGCATAAATTCTCAAGAGAAGTCCATAAAATTGATGTTTGTGGGAACTCTCTTACACTCTCCTGGGCAAAGAGACAGCAAGGTTCCTTGAACCATCAAGATCTCCTACAGGAAAAAATAGTAAATGCACTGAATTTCAAGGCACTCTAAGTTTTGAGACTTCAGATTTGTAGGATTGTCCCTATGAAATTCCTTAAGACTAATTAATTTTGGCAAAAGGACATGACTGAGCTAGAGAATTAAAAAGATAAGTATATAAGAATGTTAATAAAACATTTAATTATCTGGAGACAAAGTTACTGTCAATACCTTTCTCATTTAAAGATGAAATGTGCAGCCACAGAGGAGTGATCTAAGAGGAAAAAACCTACTTCTAATCCCTTTATTGAACAGCTATTAGTTGCTTCCAGCATTGTAAGTTTTCAATATCATTTTATTTAAGTATACATGTTGTTGAAATGTATGCCTCTTTACCTTTCTGTATTCCTGTTGCTTACTAATGAAAGAATATTAAGTAACTGGAATGGAACAAGTGCCATGCAAAGCATATGCAATCATTTATTTTATACTCAAAATAACTCTCAGAGGTAGTTACTATTATTGACATAATTTTATTGAATAAACAAGAACAAATTTTACGTAGTGTGCATAAAGTGATAGAATTGGTAAATGACTAGAGCCATATTTTGAACTCAACTGTCCATGTTCATGCTACTATGAGAAGTTGTTGATAGCAGCCTTAACTGCTTTCTTGAATCCAAGTGCCGCTTGGCATATTCTACTGGGCAGGTCTCAGAAATGCAATGCGAACAATTCCTAACTCACCACAAACTTGTTACTGCTCTTACTTCAGTAAATAGCATTTTGCTCCAACTCACCTGGATTCCTTTTAGCTTTTTCTTCTTTCTCCTCATTTTCCTAACCATATAGACTAGCAGTTCCCAGAGTGTGACTTCTTTTAGCCCTTTTGCATATTACTGATCCGTCTTCCCAGCAACCTTGAGAATAATCTTATCTACTTGAAAATGGAAGGGGCTTCTACTCCTTCTAGAAATACAACCATTTCTTGAAACTAGTGATTTATAAAATCAATAGATGATCTTGAAACAGGGCTGCCATACCACTACTTGTACTCCTGAGTCCTGACTAGCTGAAAACTCTCGAATCTCAGTATTCCTATTCACTCATAATTCTGTCACTCAGAGAACTTGTAAATTTGACTGCCCCAACTAAGTAATTAGCTCCATCTAAATCCCCTTTCAGCACGTGTGACTTTTAAGGAGTTGTAGAACACTATTTGCTTCCCTCAGCAGGTTGTGAGTTTGCCCTTTAGCCTCAACCCTCAAAACACAACCAAGCTGTGGGGCTATCCCATATAATTACACCTTATGCTATGAGCTACTCTTATATATTACTCTTCATCAAAGCTAGGCAGAAGAACATTACACCAGCAACAAAGAATGATGGATTCAGTTGCCAAGTCTCCTAGTGGTTCAGAGATTTAACTATCAGTGTTGCTTTATTTTCAAACAGTTGAGTCTGGGCTGGTAAGACAAGTTGGTTCAAGAGGAAAATCTATCAGGCCAAAGTTTTAGTTTTGATCTCTGCATGAATCAGTTAAATCAATGTAAAGAAACCAGTTCCATAAGCCCAGACTTTACTTTCAAATATACAGCCAATTATCCTGCAAATATGTGTTGTGCTTATTCGCAAGTGTATACATAAACATGAAGAAGTCAATGGGTACAAAGAAGCAATTTAGAGCACATATTTCAAGAGCTCAATTGGGCATGCTTACTCTAGACGAAAGCTAACTGGGTTCATTTAATTCATAGCTGGACCATTTATTAGTTAGGTGACCCTTGAAAATGTACTTTTTTCCCCCACTGAGACTCGATTTTTCCTAATCTTTATATTAGGAAATGCAATGGTCCTAACTTTATTAAGTGTGTGGAATTCCAAAGAAATAATCCATTGTAATATGCATAACACAGTCTAGGAGACTACTTTAAAAATACCTTTTTTTGTTAAATTTCTAAAATCTGCATGTTTCTCACTTATTAAAATGATTATACCTAGAATAAACAAATTCTACCTAATACATCTTTTATTTCTACTATGTTGATTTGTTTTGTTTTGTTCTTTGAGATGGGTTCTCACTATGTAGCCCAGGCTCCCCTCAAACTCAATATGTAGCGTAGGCTGATCTTGAATTCCTCATCTTCCTACCTCACTAGCCTGAGTGCTAGGATTACAGGCATGTATCACCACACCTGGCTCTTCCACTTGTTAATTTTGTTCAACAGAAACAATGAATTCAGTGTGACAGTGACTATCTGTATAAATTTAAGAAAATTAAAATTCTCTTTAGTGTCCACTATTATAAACAGAAATAACAGGTCTACTTTATTGGATAAGAAAAAGAAAATTACTTATGAAACACAATTCCATTGCAGGACCTTATGGAAAATGTGTTTTCACCGACAGTATCATAATATATGTACATTATATAGAGAGAGATATGAAGGAAAAAGGGTAAATAAAGACATGCATAGAACCCATAGAAAATGAGTATCTTTAGCATTTTCTACTACCAATTTTTATTATCTCATTGTAACAAGTTTTAATAATTAAAATATATTAGGTAGGTAAAATCGTTAATGAAAATGATAATCCTTAAAATAGGAACATGAATCCTTATGTGTTTCATAAAGTATATATTTCAATTTTTGTATTTTAATATGCCTGCTTTAGGTTATAGACATTAAGTAGCTAGGTATTATAATAAATTATGTTTTTCACACTTTTTCATTGTATTACCTCCTTGTAGACTCCCAGATCAATATATCCACATATTGGATGAAATGCTCCAGTTCCACACACATAAATGTGAGTCTTGTTATAGGGCTGAAGTACTCGGATGAAATTTGCACATTCAGTCTATTAGGCATAAAAGTTAAAAGTATTAGCACATGATTTGAAAGATTTTCCTTCATACTCTATGTATCAAAATGAGAAAATGTGAGAAAGATTTATGACAAAGATTTAAATATCCAAGTTAGCAAAAAAGGCAAGATGAATACAGGAACTGTAGCTTAAAGGAGTGACTTTAAAGCTTTTTCAAGTTATATAGTTTTTTATTTTACAAGAGTGCTACTCATAAATCTGGGCAGTGGCACTTAATGAGGTTCAGAAAATGGATGTACACAAAACATGAATGACACATTCAGACATTGTTTCAAGTAGAGAACAAACTCCATCATGCTCTGATGTTACCACATAGTCTATCCCATAGAGCTCCTACTGTTTTCAATGCCATCTGTCCCAGCTACACTGAGAAAAACACTGAACACAAATGTGAATTCATATGTCTGTCCCTCATTCTTATTGAGCAAAATGACCTACCACTTAGTTCCATTTATTTTCAAATCCTGCAGACCTTTTAAGAATCAGATTGTTCCCTGATGATTCTAAGTCTTTTCTGTTTTTCCCAGGAACATTTTTTAGAGTCTTTCTTTATACCCTCACTATATTTGGAAGTCAATTATTTTCTATAATTCACCTACCAGTAATTAGTGGCTATGGATTTTTTTTTAGATTATTCATTCTTCTTATTGTATATTATATTCATTTTACCTACTCTGATTTTTACTCTTTACATAATTGGTGGAAACAGTTTTTTAACCATGGCTTTTTGATCACTGGTCTTAAAAATCTCAGAAAATATTAGGTGCACTTTCATGCTAAATAATCATTCCATATGCAAGGCAGAAAAGTTTTCCTTAGGAAGTTGGAAACCTATGAACTTACCGATGTTCACAGGTAAAGTCCTGTTTTACCCTGCTCAATTGCTATGGGTTCTTCACCAGCAAGACACTGACATAATGATCACTTTTATGAGGTTTGTTGGGAGGACTATGTTTTTAAAAAAATAAGGAAAAGAAAAATGACAATTATGTAACTGTTAGAATGGCTCTTAAAATTAAACGGGGTAATAGATAATGACTTAATTGTTAGGATTGTTCTGATTTTACTCAGATTAAATGAATTAGAATTTTGAGCTCAGGACCTTCCTCTACCACTAGGACCATGCCCCTACCCCTTAGAACATTTATAATTATTTATTTATTATTCTGATTTCAAACTACACAAAATAACAATATGCAAATGGCTGAGCGAATCTTCATGTGTGCAAATCACCCATCTGGTTTGAATTTTTATGTGACAAGAATTTATAGCTGATCATGCTGGCACATGCCTGTAATCCTAACACTTGAGAGGCTGAGGAGGAAGATTCTGAATTCAAGGTCAGCTTGGGCCACACAGTGAATTCCTATCTCCAAAAATCAGTATTATATGAAATGTCAGTATTGGGCCTCAGGTAAGGGATGTTTCATTTTCAGACAGAAAGACTCAACACTCTTTAAAAGAGCAGGACCTTTCATGTAATTGCTCAGGCTGTACACTGAGTTGCAAAAAACCATTGTATGGTTGATTATGTTGTATATTGCAAAAGAACAGCATATCAAAGGCTGTGCAAATCACACTGCAGACAGCAGCTACAGATTCCATATTTTTATCTTTAATATTTTCATATGTTTAGCCTATATTTTTATGTTTTCTGTACATACACAAAATTTCTACATTTATTAAGACAACAATGAGACAGATTATCTTGCTTCACAAAATAATTTTATATCAATTTTCCATTTTTTCAACAAAGTGTCTGACATGAGGAACTTGTCTTCAACTTGCACAAAGGCACCAGAGGGAATTAGTTTTGCATTTTTGAACATCAAGTAAGGAAATCTCAAATGAAAATCTAATTCACAAAGAAATAGTGAATTACAAACTCAAATTTTAAAGAATTACTCAAATACTAATTAGTGAATTACTAATGGTTTTGAATAATGTAGACATAGTAATAAGAGCCAAAGGAAAGAAGTGTAAAAAATTGTGATTACCAGATAAATTTTAATGATGATCTCATGGCCAGGGCAGGAGGTCTGAGTACTATAAGCTTTATTTTGCTCACTCAAGCGCATTGAATTTACTTTTTTTTTCTTGGTCTCCCCTCCACATGAGATTCATGCAAGGAATTGTTCAGAGGGAGGGGGAAGAGTAAAAGAGTGAGGTGCATTGATTCACTCTGAGTTACTTCATAATTTATTTAAAAGCTCATTTTTACCAAACAGTGACAGAACTGAAATGGCAGTTTTGCACAATTCTTAAGGAAATAGCTGTATAAAGAAATAAAATGATTCCCCTTCCAGATTATAAATTATGAAATTACAAGGATTAGGGACTATGAGAGTAATCATTGTTTAAAGAAAGGCAAATAAGGTCAACGGTAAAGTTGTACACACAGGAGATGTTTTAGTGATATTGAAAGATTAAGCTCCAAATTACACCTAAAACATTTTACATCCTTTAGCTTTTCTATTATACATTATGAAAAGACATCTGGTCCTGGAAATTAACATCCTATGTTAGTTCCTTGACTTGGTGAGACATCACCAAGGATTAATTTTTAGAATCCCTCTCCTCTTTCTGACTGGGCTGATATGGAATGGAACAAAGTCTTGGTGAGTCTTGAATGATCTGACATAATTTACAATAAAATGTCAGCTCCCTCAGTCAACAATTTTCTGCAGGCAAGTTGACAGAAGGTAGTTCGTTAAGTAGCCGGTTGACAATAGAAAGGCACTAGATGCCTAAGGGAAAGAAAGCTGTGATCAGAGATCATAAAAGATATAATCTCTCTTACTTTGAATTTTGCCTGGAGTGGACATTTTGGCCAAACAACTCTGCATGGGCTTTACAATGACTTTTCTTTTTAATTCTTGACTTCATTTGTTAAATCTCAAAGATTATTCACTGTTTTAAGTACAAAGTACAAGGTTTTGCTTAAATAGCATGATCAATAATTAACTTGATTTCATTCACTTAATGACTTGCATGCCTATTAATGGCTGCACAAATCTCCGAGGCATGAAGAAAGGTAACTTTGAGAAGCAGCTGTTTTTAACTTTCCCTGAAAGTTGGCTAATTTGTCAGCTATTACTTACAATGGTAATTGTTGCATGTAAGTAATCAAACAATCTAGCAAGTAATGTATTCAAATTTGGAAAAGCATTAAATTTCATCTTTCTTCTTTATTCTTCCCTCCTATTTCCTTTCCCTTCACACAAACCCTGGAAGATAGGGAGGAAGGGAGAGAAAGACAAGGGGCAAGGGAAGAGGAGAAACCAAAATCAAGCATCAATTTCTTCATTCTCTCAAGTAATATTACATATTTCAATGTTCTATCTCTTTTAGGCATCCATATAAGTATCAATATTTAAATAAACAAATGTAAGATTGAATTAATAGCTGGAGAAAAAGCAAATACATATTAGTTTATTCATGAACATTTAGCATTTTGGTTTCTCCTCAGGTACCTGAAAAGATACTAAAAATACGAAGTACTTGTAATTCTCAAGATATACTTAAAATTGCTAATTTTAATTTATTTAGGTTAAATATGGGAAGATGCTCAGGACTTAGGAGTCTGATTTGCTTTTATTGTTATATTTGGTTTTGTTTTAGTAGTGCTGGAACAGAACCCAAAGTTTCAAGGGTGTGAATCAGGTCATTACCATTGCCCTACACATTTAGCACCCTAAGGTCTGTTTATATTTTGCAAAACATTGTGATCATCAAACCTCTTATGATCATTCACAGATGCAAATCTCAGACAGAGTCCTATATGAAGAGATATCTATTTAGGTGTTATAATGTTTAAAATATTTCAAAAAAATGCTACCACTTCAAAATAAATATATAAAAATCTAAATATCAGCTGGGTATGGTGGCACATGACTGAAATCCTAGCACTCAAGAGGTTGAGGTAAAAGTTCCAGGCCAGCCTAGCGTACATAGTAAGAGCCTGCCTCAAAAAAAAAAATCAAAGTGTCACAATTCTGTATTAAAAATGAAGGACCTAACAGTCAAGACCTGCACAGAGCAGATATCAGTCATGGTAAAAGAACAAAGGAAGACATTTTAAAGGTTGGGAAATATTCCTATTTTAAGTATTTCAAGGTCTACATCTCAAATAAAATAACAGATAAAGAATTTTTTTCTATGAAGTACAGAGTAATAAAATATTTTATAATATATATGCACATAGGTTATATATATGTATACCCATATATGCTTTGTAAACCTATAAGTAATTAGTAAGAAAAAGGCAAACATTAAAGATAAAAATATAAACAAATTTTTGCAAAACATTTATGCAAAATATTTATGCAAAACTGTATGCAAAATATTTAGTACTTGTAGTAATAAAAGAATTTTAAGCTAAAACATCCAAAGTAAATTCCTTTCATTAGTAAAGATTAAATATATTTATTCATTGCTATGCATTCATAGTAAATATTCACTGTATGCTGTCTCCGATGCTAAGGAGGATTTGGGTAAATATACTTTCTCGTAATGATACACTGCTGATTAGAATATATGAGACATAAACTTTGGAGGATAATTTAGAAACATATGCATAAAATTTTTTATGTCCTTAACTAGTAAAAGTCAACTCAACACTCAAATATCTGCACAGTATTTACATTTAAGGTTTGTCATGTGCAGCATCATTTGTGATTGCAAAAACTGGGTATGTACCAAACTTCTAACAATAGGGGATTGATGAAACAATGCATTAAGGAATGCAGTGTAGCTATTAAAAGTGGCGTTATAAAAATAATTTAATGACATGGGAAAATGCTCATAGCAGTCTACAATGGCAGTCTCCAAAGTGAAAAAATGTTTTAAGGGATTATGTATACAATGATTTCATTTTGAAAAATAGTAAATTGATAAGATAGAAGAATAAACAACAAAATGTCACCAGCTATCTCTGGGTAATGTTTATGGGACAGAGGGAATTTGTAAATGACTTCTTTTTTTTCTTGTATGTAATTTGCAAAATTTCTACAATAAACACTTTGTTTTAGTTTTGGATTTTCTCAAACAGTAAAGAAAAAAAAAAGAAGGAATGATATAATCATAGAATTTTATAGCTGGAAGATCCTTTTTCTCTAAGTAATGACTCTGTTGGCAAGACTGCCACGTCTATGGCTAAGCTCACAAAGAGCCCCGGCTGACCTCACCCTGTGCTTTCTTCTGCCAGGACTGAGTGGCTTAACCTGTTTTCTAGTGAGTACTAAAGACAGGTTTTTTTTTTTAGCAACTCTCTTTTGAATAACCTTATGAACAGAAGCAAAATACAATCAAATATCTTTAAGTTAGCCCTTCCTTTCCTTGGATTAAAGTGGGAGACTTTGTTCAAGAAAATGGAATAGTTCCCTTTTGTTTTCTCATCTTCCATTACCTCCCCACCCCAATTAGCTAACTTTCATTATGGTGAATAATTCACTCTTTTGCTGTTATATAGTACCTCTGTGTAAAGGGACAGTCTTTCCAAACACTTGTTAATCCTAAACACACTCTTGGGAAGTAGGTAAAAATTACTAGAAGAGGGAGGAGAAGGGGTTATGCCAAAGGCAATAAAAAATGTCAATAAAACACAGATTTGTCTCAGTTTTGCTGGTCAAAATCTACACAATGCTTTCCAAAATAAGGATCTACTTGACAGTGATATCAAAGAGAAAAATGATTTTAAAGACATAGTTTTTAGACCTTATATTTAGATTTTGGCAGTAGGAGCACAGACAGTGTGGCCAAATGTGATTCAATTCCTGGCTCCATTATTTACCTCGTGTGTGATATTGGGCAAATTGTTTAATTTTTCTGCCTTTAGTTTTCTTGTCTAGAAAGCAGGAAATAATAATAAAATCTAGTATATGTTGTTTTGTAAGGATTAAAGAAGATTATAAATATAACACATTAAAAGTAGTTCCTTGAACATAACTGTTATAAAAATGTTAATGATTATCAGTAACACTAAAATAGAACGTGATTTTAAAATGATAAAAAGGAAGAACAAATACATGTGTAATCAAGATTCAACATCAAACTTTACAGACTGCAAGAGAAAAAAGCTTCCCAAATCTCTAATCCTGATTTAGCACTTCATGTGTTTAAGTTAGATGTGACTAAGAGCTCACAAACAATATTGAATTGGATGAGTCTGTTCCATAGCAGAGTCCTACATGCTCAAGAGTAACACCTCCAGAAAAGTTTATCACACTTTGCTCTAACTTAATGAGAGGAACAACGAAGTTACTATATAATTGAATTTAGTGAACAGAGCGAAGTGAGAGCACTGTCACGATGTAAAACGTTACTGATTATTTAAACTTGAGTGTTTATTCCTCATCTCACCCACAGGAAAATTGTCATGCGTTTATTTTATTATAGAAATTGAAAATGTACTTTTCCCACTTGCTTCTTTATCTAATCCAATACTGGTGATACACAACATATAAAATATTCATAGTAGTTATGCCAGGTTTCTACTGTTCATTTGACAAAATAAGTTTGAAAAATCTCATAACCAAATCATATTTTCCCATAAGTTCAATAAAGAATCAATCTTTTTGCAGATCTGTGTACCTGCTCAGTGTGTATGTACAGAACAGGGTTATGTCACTGAGAAAGAAGAATATATTTTTAGAATAGGTTAATCCCTTTCTTTTCTAGTAAAGTGACTATAGAACTGTCTCCCACTACATTTGATGCTAACACTTCCTCATTTATTTCTATTAGCATAAATGTGCTTGAAAAGATCAGAAGTGATATTAACTGAATATAAAATGAAATATAACCATGTTTATTTTGTTTTGTTTTGATTATTCTGTGTTTGTGTTGGTTCTCAGTAGTGTTAACTATGCATAAGTGATCATGTGTATCATAATCTATTCTTTCATAGAATGAAAGGTCCATAGGATAGATACATATCACTTTCACATATATTTATGCATATATTTAGGCTCTTTAAAATAGTTGTTGAATAAATAAATGAACAATTGAGTGACTTAACCTTTTGTCTCAGATTCCTAACCTTCTGTGCCTCTCCTCAATTCATTAGGCATCATGTGTCCTATTTTTATACTTCTATCCAGTCCTTTCTTATCCTAATTACACTTTCCCATAAAACACATTATTTGTTAGTATTAAACGTGAAAGCACTGTCCACTTAATACCCTTGCCTTGTTGAGGTAATGTTAGAGGATATTGCAAAAGAAGTCTCAAAATGTCCATGTTTCTGGTCAAGGATGAAATCTTTTGAGTTAGATTCTAGGTATGATTTGCCTACGAAGAACATTTATACCCACCAGCAGAGAATAAGAAGTTATGGCTGAACACAGACGACCTAGCCTGAATCAGAGCATGTAGTTGAGGAGTGAGGAGCGAGGTGTGAGGAGTGAGATGTGAGGAGGCAGCCAAAGCCCCAGCACTCTTCAGTCATTGCTGAAGGTAAAATAGGTAAGGTAAAGTGGCGGAGCATACAGGACAACTTGCACAGTGCAAAGGCAATTCAGACAGGACACTGCACCAAAGACAGGTAGTTTTGTCATTTCTGAGGAAGGGTCTGCACAATCCTTATGGTAGCTTAAATCAGAATTTTATAGTAAGAGCACCTATTTATATTTTTAAAGTAATTTCATGTATTAAGTAAACTCCAGAGTAAGTTATTTCTATTCCTTATGACAAAAGTCTCAGGTGTCATTCTCAGTGGATTCTCCTTGTTATCTCTACAATGTTGCAATATGAAAGACATATTCTAGGTGTTATGAATTTCATCTCAAATCAAATGAAATTAAATATCAATTTTTTGTTTGTTATGCTAAAATAGTTATCATTTTGTGTACATTTATAAAATACACATATATAAATAAAAATATGTATTCCTTAAAATACGATATTTCCTGATGGTTTATTTTTAGATATTATGTATTTTTAATATATGTTGTGAGGAAAATAATAACATTAATTATTATTTTAGAAAATTTTATGCTTCTAACATCTGGATTTTTGTGAATAGTATTGTTTTTGGCAAGACAGAAATTTTTTATACCATATTAATCTTTACATAGAATGTTAGTTTAGTCTTAAAAATAATACATTAATTCAATAAAAGTGAATGTAAATATTTACTATAGTATTAGTACCCATTTAACAAAGATAATTTTAGAATTTCATACTTACGTTGGCATCTTTCCCGGCTAATTTACATAACTCCACCCGTTCCTTTGGAGCAGGCCAATATATCTGTAAAACATTTCAAGATGTATTAGAATGTGAATATCTATAGCATTCTAACACCCTATAATTCTGATTAGAGAAGTAAATGAGTTATACTAATGAATAGATATCAATAATGTTGTTAGAATCAATGTAAGAATTTTGAAATTTAAGTATTTTCCAAAGCTACAGTGCAAAGTTTCTTAAAAAACCTGTGTACGGCCATCCACTTTTATTAATCTTCTCATTTCTCTTAACATATGTAACAATAGATGAGCTATATTCACAGGACTATAGTTCTTATTGTGATGTCAACAGAACTTCAGATTAGCATTTGTCTAAATAAGAACAAACACCATGTTTACTCAGTTGTGGTGTATTATGGACATGTGGTATAAGATGTTAGAAATAGCTCTCTGTCACACACAAGTTATTAGTCCATGCAAGGGACTAGTGTGAATTTGTTGGCAATATTTAACAAGAATGGAGCTCAGACACAACTGTCATTAACCATTATAAATATTGTAGAAGTATTATCTTATTTAAATTTCACAATGGCCCTACAAAATAACTTCTCTCATTTTCAGCTCAGAAAACTTTGTCACACAGCCATTAAGCAATATGTCCAAGGTCACAAAACTAGTTCATGGCATAGTCACAATCTGACCCAAATTCTATCTGTCTGCTAAGCTGGCAGCTTCAACCACTATGAAGTAAATATTATTTGGGCAAAATGATTAAGTTCAAAGGCACCAACCATCTTGGTGGGTAGCTTTTAATTATGCTTATTAGTCCTGAATATATCAGAAAAGTTTTTTGTTATTGTTTTCTCTCAAAGGTCAGGAATTCTGTCAGGAAATAATTGCAAAGTTAGTTTCAAACATTTATGCTCCTCCATTAGCTTACAGGAAGAAATGTTTTTTGTTAGCTATTATAAAATTAGCAAGCACTGAGTGCTCATAATATATGCTTCATGAGTTCCTGACAGACTTTTACTATGTTTGTTACCAATGTTAGCAAAAAATGTTTTAATGGGTAAGGAAAAAATATCCTGTGTCAACACACTGAAAGAGACTTGCTAAACCTGAAATTTGACAAAAGATTTATGAGTCACCAATGTTTGGAGATTTTACGTCTCTGAGTCAAGAAAAAGAATGAATAACAGTTAATACTCTGATAATAGATAAATACAATGGAGTTGTTGAGATTTTAAAATAATCAAGTTTGTTCTTCTAGATGATATTTTAATAATCCACAAATTACAACCAAAGGTGCAACAGGCAGGTGACTGAGCCAGCAATGGGCTCAGGTGATGATGAGCTTGTCTTGGTGTGTGGGTCACAATAAGGAACCAACACTGTTACTTACTCAAAAAGCAAATGAATCAAAGAGCACAAAGATAATCACAGGATCTCATGTTTCTTTTTTTAACCTCACACCAGTTACTGGGTGGCTGAATTAAAGAACATGAGATAAATGTGGGTCTCAAACACTGAGTTTGAAAACATTTATTAGTGCCTCTAAAAAGAAAGAGTTATTTAAAGAATGGCAAAATATGGAAGCAATATTTATATCTTTTATGAAATCTATATAAGCTTCAAATTAAGCACAAAGTAGTTACTGTTCATTGACCACATAGTTATGAAAGGCCTTCTGCATGGAGGCAAGGTGTGGGATTGAGGTGCCGGGATATGAGTGAGGAAGAAGCTCCACAACAGAGTAGCTCCACTTCATGGAGGACAGAGAGTGGGGATGGAGCACACAGGAGGACGCCACTCTGCCTGGCGAGCACTCAGTGGTAAACATTGACTTTTTCAGTTCCTACTTTTGAGTAATTGTTTTAAATTCCTTGCTCTTAACAGTTTCAACTCTACTGTGATAGTTTAGTTTAGCTTAGTTTAAATGTTTCAACTCTAGTTTTATTTAGGGACTTGACATTAAAATAGCAATTGCACAATTTTTCCCTTTTCACAAAGGAACACAAATCTCTGAAAGATGTTTTAATGCTTTAGTTGTACATTTTCAGTTATTAACTACAAATAATGTAATTATAACTTGTAGTTGCTGAAGCAATACAACTAATTAACAAGTTTTGCTGAATTGGCTTTTTGGATAGCAGGTAAAAGTTATACAGAGATACACAAGCACTGATAATTGTTGGACTTCAGAACCCATTTCTTTGGGTCTGTTTATGTAACAGACTTTCTCCCCCAAAATGCTTTGTTTTCATCATTCAACTTCAATTCTCTAGATTATGATAAAAGTAGAAAGTTTCCTCGAATCATTTGTATCATGGCAACAGGAGGGGTTCTAAGATAATACCAGGACAAAAATTTTCTTCTAAAAATACTGTTTAAGTCTTCAAAATAATGATTATTTTGGGTTATTAACAAAACATTGTTAAGCACTTAAGATTCACAAATAGAATTACCATAAGTAACAACAGCCTAAGAGACATTTGATTGCGTTCCAGACTCTAAACATTTACTTAGAAAGAAAAAATATTTCAGTTGTGCCAATATTTAAGAGATGTCATTTTAATTGTGATTTATGGAGGGATTTTTATGTGCTTACCACCTAGCTATTACAATAAAGGATTTATTTAAAAGTGATTCTTTCAATTACTAACTAGTAAGAAATTTAAAGAAACAAATTTTCTTAATTCAATCTAAGCACCAAACAAAGAAAACAAGAAAGTTCACATATACTTGCCTAGAACATACTTACATGTGTATTTACCTAGAGTTGGCAAAAATATGTTCAACTGACAATTTTATGTTTTAGTAATCTTTTGAAGTTACACATAAAATGTGCTACATGTATATATAAACACACATATAGAATAGCATTCCACTACTCATGTTTGCCTAGTATAATTGTGTGTGTGTGTGTGTGTGTGTGTGTGTGTGTGTGTGTACAGGTAGTTGTATGTAGGGGACAGGAAGAAGAGAGAAATAGAGATACAAAGGGATATACAGTTACCATGAGAGAGAGACAGAGATGTTAGATCTGATTGTATACAGAATAATACATATTTCACACATAGTCTCAAGATTTAGCTTGGTTTGTACAAACCCTTTTTATATCCAAGATCCTTAGATCATTTCTGTAGTTCAGTCAGTATACTTTCAGATTGCCACACTCTCAGAAACCATACCATATGCTTAAGAATACAATATGCGCAATATCTATAAAAAATCAGTCTACTCTTTTTCTTTCTTATTTTTTTTACTGTGGTACTAGGGTTTGAACTCAGGTTCTTGTTTCTGTTTGGTCGGTACACTACCTTTTGAACCATGACTCCAGCCCTTTTCCTTTCTCCCTTCCTTTTTTCCATTCTTCCTTTTTTCCCTTCCTTCTTTCTTTCTTTCTTACCCTGTTCCTCCTTTCCTCTCTCTCTTCCTCCTTCCCTTCCTTTCTTCCCTCCTTCCCTTTCTTTTTTCTTTTTCTTTCTTACCCTGTTCCTTCCTTCCTTCCTCCCTCCCTCTTTTCCTTCCTTCCTTCCTTCCTTCTTTCTCTCTTTTTTTTAACTTTAGGTACTTTTCTGATAGGATCTCACAAGTCGTCGTAGGCTGGCCTTTGACCTCATTCTTCCTACTTATGAATCTAGCATAGCTGGGATGACAGGCATACACCACTACATCTTACTTATTTGTTGAGATGGGGTCATGCTAAGTTTTTGCCCAGGCTGGCCTTGACCTTAAATCCTCCCTATCTCTGCCTTCCAAGTAAAAAATCAACAATCTTGATGATTAGTTAATGTGAACTGTTTTGAGGCAATGATTATCGATATTCTCACTGCTCTTTACATCTGTCAGTAATAAGACACCATACATATTTTCTTGCATTTTACTCCCTTACACACAATCCAACACATTAAAAATCACATTAAGGAGATTAAAACAAGCATAGTTTTAAAAGTGGATGGCTCCCTTACAAAGTCATTCACAGTCACAAAGAGTCATACAAGAAGCAGAGCTGCCACTCTCACAATCGCCCTACTTTAATTGTCCTGAAATATTCTCAGAGAACACTATTTTTAACTACCCTTGCATGATGTGCCAACTACAGAATTGAAGGCTGTCACTCTGGTGGACACTGGTCTCTGGGACTGTAGCTCTTTGATATCAAGGATACAAACACAGAGAAAGCTTTCAGCCATTCTCTCCACCCATCCACAAGCAGTGCGGACAGAGATCAAGCAGAGATCTTTTCTGTGAATCCAGTAAGTTGAGGAATTCATCCCAGCTTAATTATCCAAAGAATCACTACTAATCAAATCATAATTAAACAAGGATGGCTTGAAAATTGGTTTTAATTTAGTGGTAACTTTTTTTCCTGCAGGGTCTCACTATATAACCTAAGCTGGCTTCAAACTCTTGATCTTTCTTCTTCAGCCTCTTGAGTGCTGAGACTACAGGTGTGTACCACCACACCTTGTCTGAGTGTAATTCTTATACATCCATTTGTTAACAGAAAACTGTGGGAATGAGCCAGGCCTATAGATGTAGGTCTGCAATTCCAACATTGGGAGACTGAGGCAGGAGAATCACAAGTGCCAGGTCAGCCTTGGCCTCATAGTGAGTCCAAGACCAGCCTGGGCTACATAGTGATACCCTGTCTCAAAAAAACAAAATGAATCAATCAATCAAACAAAAAAATCTCTAAAGCAAACTAATGGAGAAACAAAAAATTAATTTATAAAAGTTCTTCATTCTCGGAAGTAATAATTTCTAGTTACCATTGTAAAACAAACAAATGAAGATCTATATTCTATAATTTACTGATTTAACCTTTTTAATATGTTTATGTAGCCTTTATAATATTTTATAATTTTTCATTTCCAAAAATACTATCTTTTTCATGTTACTATCTTTTTCATGTTATACTATAAGACTCAAATATTCGAATCTAAAAATACATGTGTATGTATATATATATTTTTTCTTTTAGACTTACACAATATCCATTACCAGCACAAAAAATCACTTTATTGAGTGACAATTTTCTTTAGTGCTTCCTTATTT